GCCTTTAATCCCAGCACTCGGGAGGCAGAGGCAGGTGGATCTCTGTGAGTTTGAGGCCGGGCTGGACCGATAGCCTCCGAAACAATACAGAGAAACCCTGTCTCGTAAAAACCAAAAAAAAAAAAAAAAAAAAAAAAAAAAGAGTTGTAGCGGACATCACAAGCCGGACACAGGCTTTGACGTGACCAGTGTTCGGGCATCTTAACCCCTTCATGGATGGTCCTCTTGGGCTCTAGCCTGTGCTCCCGTCCCCGCTCAGCTGCAGGCACACCGGTCTGCTCTTCCTGTCTATTCTGTTGTCATCTCTAGGATGTTAACATGCGGGACCAGTGTGTGGCCTTTTGAGATTTGTTTTTTTTTCCTTTTCACTTTGAGTCCCCATTTTGTAATTCACTCATCTTGCCGTGTCCGTGGGCTTCCCGTGATGTGGAGGCGCCCCTTCACTTAAGCACGAGCGCACTGAGGGACTTTTGGTTGGAATGTCCGTAAATGTTGAGATACACATCCAACTGGACAACTGCTGGGTGACATGGGCAGGACTTGATGTCCTCAAAAAGAAGCTGCACCTGTGCCTGGATGATTGACTGACTAGAACTTTTGTGATTGTGGAGGGTTGGAACGGTGCCAATCCAGAGTCAGATGATATTGAGTTATCTTTAGTTCCCTTTAAGGTCTACTTTCTGTATATTTATTATACAGCATCTTCTTAACTAATGCATTCTAAAGTGAGAAGGGGTACTAACAGATCGCCAACTTCTACTAACTCAAAAGCTAGGGAAGCTATCAGTATCTGAAGCCAGCATGAGAGATTCCCTGCTTTTCTGTGACCCAATGACTTGATGTCCCTGTAGATTTGTCTATTTGGAATGGTTTGGATTTACATGAAACTAGGCAATACATGGCCTTTTGTTGACTGACTTCCTTCACTGAACATAATTAGCTACAGTTTGCTCCACAGTGTGGCAGGTGTCCATACGGCATTGTCTCTAGCTGTTGAATTGTTTTTGCTGTGTGGATCCCCATAGCATATTTATTAATTACTGTTATTCTCTTGTGTGGATAAACCATAGTCTACTCATTCAAGGAACAGGATAATAATGCCTGGGTGGCTTAAACAACAAACATTATTTTTCACAGTTAAGGAAGCATGACAGTCTAAGATCAAGGTATATGCAGAGTCAATTCCTGGTTCTCATGTGGAGTCTTCAGTCAGTGTCCTCACATGTAAAGAACAGAAGCAAGCTCTGAAGACTCTTAGGAAAGACACTTATCCCATCTATGAAGGTTCCATTTGCATGGCCTCCTCAAACCCCCTCAAAGACCACACACTAGACCCAAATCCCTCTCTAGAGACCACCTCCCAACACCATCACACACACTAGACCCTAATCCCTGTCAATGACCACCTTCCAACACCATCACTTACACTAGACCCCAATTCCTCTCAATGACCACCTCCCAACACCATCACACACACTAGACCCCAATCCTTCTCAATGACCACCTTCCAACACCATCACTTACACTAGACCCCAATCCTTCTCAATGACCACCTTCCAACACCATCACACACACTAGACCCTAATCCCTCTCCAAAGACTCTATCTAACATCATCACATACATTAGACCCCAATCCTTCTCCAAAGATCATCTCCTAACATCATCACATGCAGGAGGATAACCGTATGCGGATTTGTGGCTAAAGATTCAAGTATTTAGCCCCAACCCCATCTTGAAGGAATGTTCTAGAAGGACTGGAGTATTTAGTGCAAGCAGAAGATAATGCACTTGAATCAGAACTAATCAGATAGTTGTGGAGTCTTTTGATAAAAGGCCAGGGGAAACCGCCATCAACAAGGCTAAAATAAAAAGCTTTCCTTTATTCCCTGGTCTCTCTCTCTCTCTTAACCTGTCATGGCATATTTTCCATGTTTTAGGTTTCCATTTACCTTTAAAAGTAGGATCTGAGTCTGTAGCCTAGGCTGGCCTGGCTTCAAACTCACTGCAATCCTCCTGTCTCTGCCTCCCAATTGCTAGAGTTACAATTGTGAGTCACCATGCCTAGTGATTTACGATGTTTTAAAATTGTTGTTTAATGTCATTGTCCTTAGTAATGAAAAGTTAATTTTTGTTAGTTATCTTTGCACATTGTAATGCCAGTTTTAAATTTAAATACTGGAGCCTTCTTTTTCTATGCATGTGTAATCAGCTACATTACACAACTGGTGCTTTGTAACAACCCTGGAAGAATCAAGCTCAACTATTTTATTTAATTTTTTAAAAGATTTATTTATTTATTATGTATAGAGCATTCATCCTTGGAAGGCCAGAAGAGGGCACCAGATCTCATTATAGATGGTTGTGAGCCACCATGTGGTTGCTGGGAATTGAACTCAGGACCTCTGGAAGAGCAGTCAGTGCTCTTAACCTCTGAGCCATCTCTCCAGCCCTTATTCATGTTTTGATAGAAGTGTATTCTACCAGCACTCTCTGTCATATTGATATACAAGTCATTTTTTTAATCAAACATGGCTAGCCAAAGCAGGATGCAAAATGTGTAGGCTTCTTTTAATGCCAATATCTTTTCATACTTGACATAAATTCTAGCTCCACTAAGTGTGTGCCTCGTTGTATTAGTCAATCTTGCAGATGGAATTTTCTGTCCCTCCTGGTCCCACAGCCCCTTTAGTCCCAAATAAACACACAGAGGCTTATATTAATTATAAACTGATTGGCCCATTGTTCGAGCTTATTACCAACAAACTCTTATAACTTAAATTAACCCATAACTATTATCTGTGTTTAGCAATGTGGCTTGGTACCTTTTCTCAGTAAGGCATTTTCATCTTGCTTCTTCTATGTCTGGCTGGCGACTGTGTCTCTGCCTCCCTCTTCCCAGAATTCTCCTAGTCTGACAGCCCCGCCTATACTTCCTGCCGGGCTCCTGGCCAATCAGCATTTCATTAAACCAATACGAGTGGCTAATATTTATAGTGTACAAGAGCATTATCCCACGTAACAGCCTCTCTCATAGCTATAGCAAAATGTCTGAGGTAAGCGTATTACAGAGAGAAAGGCTTGTTTTGACTTGACGTTTTGCAGGTGTAAGTCTCTGATGGGCTGACATCATCACTTTGGGGTTGCAGTAGCATAAATGCACACGGCAGAAAAATCCCCTCATCTCATGTCAGGGAGGAATCGAGAAAGGAGGGTCTGGGGGGACCCACGGTCCTCCTCAAAGGCACACGCCTCCAGTGACCCGAAGAATCCTCACCAAACCTCACCTTTACAAGATTCTGCCTTGCCTCAGTAACACATGGGTTGAAGTCTTTCAACTGTGGTGGTTTTCAGACATTGTAAACATAACGTGTAACACCAGCCTTCTTCATTGTAGATATAACATACTTGTCCTGAACTTGGTTTGAATCTCGCTGAACCCATACTCAGCATTGGGTCCACAGGAACCCTGTCTCACAGTGTATTGTGGATGCTGCAGATGAGTCTGGCAACCCGGAGTCACGGGCGCACGCTATGTTAACCACGCCAGAAGCACAGGCTTTTGGGTCTCAGCATTATAAAACTGACTCAGCCAAGATACATAGGAATCCGTGGTTTCGCAGAAACTGTTGATGGTAAACCAGGCTGCTGTAAAGCCAGAGGGATCATTGCTATAAAATGTGGAAAAAAAATAAAAGCAGCAAGTGGTTTGAAACGCAGCTCCAATGGTAGTCACGGTACATCTTCTCATCTCTATAGCAACAATTATGACTTTTCTCAATGCAGTTTGGAGAAACACCGTAAACACTGTAGCACAAAGAAAGGAAAGTGTTAAAGCCCTAGCCCAGTGTAGCCATAGTCTGAAGGATACGTTTGCTCTGATGCTCTGCACAGTCTATACATGTTTGTTTCAACAGGAGCATCCCAGAGCATAGGTTGGCTCATATATTATTTTCCTTAAATTAAAAAATCTTGTTTTCTAAAATAATTATTTATTTTTATTCTATGTGCGTTGGTGTTTTGCCTGCATGTGTGCCTGTGTGAGAGTGTTGGATCCTTTGCAACTGGAATTACAGACAGCTGTGAGCTGCCGTGTGGGTGCTGGGAATTGAACCCTGGTCCTCTGGAAGAGCAGCCAGTGCTCTTAGCCACTAAACTATCGCTCCAACCCCCTATATATTCTTAATATTTATCAATATCACTGAACGTCCTTCTCCATGATTTTTATGGCCTCACAGTATTTCATACTATGCCCATCTTAAAATTTATTGTATTCTAGATCCAAGCACTGAGAAGGTTAGGTGGACTCAAAGTCCCACTCTTGACCAAGAAGTTGTTTGTCACGAACAACTGCTAAAAAAGGGGAAATCAGTTTCCTCCAATGGAGTGACACTGGGTGTATCATCAACACTTCAGAGCTGGTCACATGACCAGGAGTAGTTGGTCTTCATGGTTTTGTGTGTGAGTGTGTGTGTGTTTAGTTTGTTTTGATTTTCTTTTTCTTTTTCTTTTTTTTTTTTTTTTGAGACAGGGTTTCTCTGTGTAGCTTTGAGGTCCTCTCCTGGCATTTGCTCTGTAGAGCAGGCTGGCCTGGAACTCACAGAGATTCACCTGCCTCTGACTCCCAAGTGCTGGGATTAAAGGCGCGCACCACCACTGCCTGGCTTGATTTTCAATTTTAAAATTGTTTTGTGTTTTGGGGGAGAAAGAACATGAAATTGGTGGATAGGGAAATGGGACGGATCAGGGAGAAATTGGAGGAGAGGAAAAGAATGTGATCAAAATATATAGTATAAAAATAAAATTAAGCCAGGCATCAGCGGCACACATCTTGAATCCCAGCGACACTCGGGAGGCAGAGGCAGGTGGGGGGTCTCCGTGAGTTCAAGACCAGCCTGGTCTACAAGAGCTAGTTCCAGGACAGCCCCCAAAGCCACAGAGAAACCCTGTCTTGAAGAAATAAATAAATAAAATTAAAATGAAAAAATTGCATACTTGAAAAGTGTGTTCTGTTACAGAACGTGTAGGTCATTGCTAGTGTGAAAAATGCTGTGATATCTGTCAGCCTTGAAGACAACCACACACTTCTCCTGTGTGAGGCGTGGGTGTTGGGCACTATAAGGGCTGTGTCTAATGTACCCTCTGGTGGTAAGGCATTGAGTGGCTTCTTTCTGTTTGACCCAGGAAGATCATCGGCAGCGGCGGGACATGCGCCTAGAGAACAGAGATATCGGGCTGCCCTCAGCCGTGCTGGAGGTGGAGCTCCGCCAGACATCTGCAGTGTCTGCTCCAATGTGTTCAGACCCTGGACAGCTGCTCACAGTCAGACCCGCCACCAGCAGCTACCAGCATGGCTCAGGCAGACCCCGGCGTCCCCTATGCTGGCCAGGCAGCTGGGAAGGGCTCCTGTGTTCCTGAACGTGCAGAGTTGGGCTCACTCCTCATGGAGGGGAGGTGAGTGTGAAACCGTCCGTGGAATGGGCACAGAGCTGATTTCTACCTAGAATACTAAGTTTCTACAGATATGCTTTCCCCGCATTTTATGGGAAAGCTTTCCAGAAGTGTCATAAAAACATTTTCAGCATTAAGCTCTTTCCTGGTTTATTTCGGACATGCGCTGCTTTCTAAATATAATAAACTTAGCTTCAAATGATAATACAAGCAGAGAGTTGTCTTCTAAGGATGTGATAATCTCACGTGATATTTAAAGTATTCCGAATATTATATGATTTTGGAAATAGCTGTCATCTATCTATATCTTAGGAAATATTTTGTTTCTATAAATGTAACATTTGAATTAATGTAATCTTTTTTTTTTATGTCAGAAACCCTGGATTAGAGGGGCCTGGGGCAGGCAGGGAGTGGCAGAAATGGCGTGATAGGAAGTTATAAAAAAGAGAGAAATCGCCGGGCGTTGGTGGTGCACGCCTTTAATCCCAGCACTCGGGAGGCAGAGGCAGGCGGATCTCTGTGAGTTCGAGGCCAGCCCGGTCTACAGAGCGAGTGCCAGGACAGCCTCCAAAACTACACAGAGAAACCCTGTCTCGAAAAACCAAAAAAAAAAAAAAAAAAAAAAAAAGAGAGAAATCCCTGAGTTGACATAAAGGAGAATCGCTTTTGATTAACCTTAAAATACTTGCTTGTGTAAAGATAATAGACTTTATATGTCGATTCTCATACCCTAAATTCTTAACTTTCACTTTCATATCTACCTCCTGGTGACGCTGAAACCATCACCCTCTGGGTGACTGTGTCTGGTTGACCAGGGGATGTTCATTTCCTTGTTGTTACAGTTGACAGATTCCATTCTGAAACCTTGTATCACCCGCTGAAAGAGACAGTATGAGAAAGGACTGGGCCATGAGGCGGGAGTCCTCATGAGCAGGGTTGGTGATCTTGAGAGGGCTATGCAATGCTCCATTGTGTAAATGCACCTCGTTTTCTTTACCCATTCCTTGGTAGAGGGACATCTAAGTTGTTTCCAGGTTCTGGCTATTACAAATAATGCTGCTACGACCATAGTTGAGCAAGTGTCCTTGTGGTATGATTGAGCATCCTTTGGGTATATACCCAAGAGTGGTACTGCTGGGTCTTGTGGGTAGGTTGATTTCCTGAGAAACCGCCACACTGACTCCCAAAGCTCGCGCTCTGACCTAGGCACTCTGCATATATGTCATAGTCTGTGTATCTTGGTCCTCTTGTGGGACTCCTAACAGTGGGAACAGGGCCTGTCTCCGACTCTTTTACTGTTTTGGGGACCTTACTTCTCAAAACTGGGTTGCGGTGCTGAGCCTTAGTACATGGGGAGGTGCTTAAGTCTTACTGCAACTCGATACACCACATTTTGTTGATACTCATGGGAGATTTGTCTTTTCTTGGATAGTGATGGAAGAGGAAGTGATTGGGGGTTGGGGTGAGGAAATGGGGGAGAGGGACTGGGAGGGGAGGATGGGGGGCTGCAGCAGGGATGTAAAATTAATACATGGGTTTAAAAAAAAAGAGAGGTCTGGAAGAGCTGGTGAGGCCTCTCTCTGCCTTCTGTCTTCTACATGTAACAATGTAGCAAGGACTTGGCTTCCTCCGCCCCGAGACTCTAAAAGTACAATTAGTCCATTACAATTTAGTTCCATACAAAAGAAGGTACTTTGTTAAGGCAACACAAATGAACTAAGACAGAGTGCATTTTTGAAAAGATCCACTGCTTGTATGTGTTTAAGTGTTTGCCTGCATACATGCGTGGCCACTAGGCACACATTGGTTCTGCTGGTGCTGGAGTTACAGACAGCTTTAAGTCACTGTGGGTGGGTGCTGGGAACCCGGCTCAGGTCTTCTGTGAGAGCAGGGGGTGCTTCTAACTTCTGAGCCATCTCTCCAGCCCCAGACACAGCATACTGAACAACATTCGCACACTTGTGTTCACAGCGGCATCATTTACCTCAGCCAAGTGCGAGCCCATGCGTGTGTAATTCAAGTGGGGTGTACGCATACAATCCGTTCAGCCTCTAAGAGGAAGGGAATTCTGACGCCTGTGGTAGTATGGGCAAGCCTTGAGGACACTGTCTAAGTGGAATGAGCCAGTCAGAAGACGACAGGGCCTGTGTCATTCCATTTACATGGGGCACCTTGGGGAACACGTTTGGAGAGGCCAAAAGCACCATGGTGGTTTCCAGGCTGGGGGATGGTGTGATGTGGAATTTCCTAGTGGGGCAGAATGTCAGCTTGGTAAGGTGAGTTCTGGACCTGGATAGTGCGGAAAATGGTACGGTATGATAAATGCACTCAGCATCTCTGAGAAGCACACTTAAAACGGCCAAGAGGGTAAATTTTGCTAGGCGTGTTTGACCACGATTAAACATCACCTTGTGGAGGTTTACACTTCCTCAACCTCACAAGTGTTTGTTGCCAATTGCTCTCTGGAGGGTGGCCACTCTGACGAGGATGAGATGGCATCTCAGGGTTTTAACTTGGATCTCCCTGATGGCTGAATATGCCAAGTTCTCCTTCAAGTATTCGTTGGCCATTGAAACTTCTCTTCACAATGTTCAGTCAGCTCCTTAGCCCGTTTATTGTTTGGATGGTTTGTGGTTGTGGTGTTTGATTTTGGCACTTCTCTTTGTATTTTGGGTACTAATCCCCTGCAGGATGGGCAGTTGGTAAAGCTGTTTCTCCTGTTCTGTCTCTTTACCTGAGTAGTTATTCTCTTTGCTGTGGAGAAGTTTCTCAACTTCATGCACTCTTTTTTAATTTTATTTTTTTAATTGGTGTTTTGCCTGCTTGTATATCTCTGGTAGAGTATTGGATCCTGGAGTTACGGACAGTTGTGAGCTGCCATGCGGGTACCCAATAGCTATATTCTTTTTCTGTATGTGGGTGATGGGGTTGGGACAGGGCTTCTCTGTGTAGCCCTGGCTGTCCTGGAACTTCCTCGGTGGACCAGACTGGCCTTGAATTCACAGAGTTCAGCCTGCCTCTGCCTCCCAAGCGCTGGGATTAGAGGTGTGCGCCACCACTGCCCTCTCTTTTATTTTTATTCATCTTGCCAGTTCTTAGGGCTATTTTCTGTGCTATTGGAGTTCTGGTTAGAAAATCCCTGCCTATACAACTGTGGTGTTTAATAAGAAGGGCCCTTAAAGGCTCATATTTGTATGCTTAGTCATCTGGGAATGGCACCATTTGAGAAGGATTAGAAGGTGTGACCTCGTTGGAGGAAATGTGTCAATAGGGGTGGGTTTTGAGGTATCAAAAGCCCATGACAGCGCCCCCCCCCATGGATGAAGCTGTAGCTCCCAGCTACTGCTGCATTGTTTGCATGCCTGCAGGCCGCCATGCTCCCGGCCATGATGACAATGGACTAAACTTCCGACACTGCAAGCCAGCCTCCAGTTAAATTTGTCTTTCATGAGAGTTGCCTCAGTCATGGTGTCTTTACGGCAGTAGAAAATCCACTAAGACACTGGCATACTTAAATGCCTACCTCGTTTGTGTTTTCTTGCAGCATTTTCAAAGTTTCAGGTCTTGCATGAAGGTCTTTGATCCATCCTAAATTGACTCTGGTATGGAGTGAGAGATGTGGGTCTAGTTTCATTCTCTAAGGACTCCGTTTGTTAAAGAGGCTGTATTTCCTACAATGCATGTTTCTGAAACAGGGATGGACTTTGTCAAAGGTCTTTCTGCACTGACTGAGATGATCACTTTGAATTTGATTTATGTATTGTGTTGGTTGGTTTTATGTCAACTTAACACAAGCTAGATTCATCTGGGGAGATGAACCATCACCTGGGAAAATGCCTCTACCCTCTGTGGGAAAGCCCATGCTGCATTTTCTTGGTTGATTATTGATGTGGGAGGAAACTGATCACCGTGGATGGTGTCAGGCCTGGGATGGTGGTCCTGGGTGCTGTAAGAAAGCAATCCAAGCAGACCATCAGGAACAAGTCAGTAAGCAGCCCTCTTCCATAGCTCTGCGTCAGTTCCTGTCTCCGGGTTCCTGTCCTGGCTTTCGTCAACCATGACCTTGTGACGGAAGCAATTTACAGAAGGGTTTATTGGGCTTGCAGATTCAGACCTCAGTACTTGACCATTACTGCAGGGAGCATGGCAACAGGTGGTCAGGTAATATGACTGTGCTGGAGCAGTTAGCTGAAAGCGCACGTGTCGAGACATGGCCACGAGGCAGAGAGGGACACTGGGAAGGGCATGAACTTTTGGAACTTCTAAGCCCGCCTCCAGTGACACCCCTCCTCCAATAAGGCCACACCTCCTAATCCTTCCCAAACGGTTCCACTAACTGGGAATGATTATTGAAACATCTGAGCCTATGGGGGCCACTTTCCTTCAAATCAGCACAAGACTTACAAGCTGTAGGGTGAAGGAAACCTTTGCCTCCCCAAACTGCTTTTTGTAACAGTGCTGTATCACAACAGTACAGACCCTAACTAAGATCCCCACTCGCCTCAGACTTAGAACTACCAAACTCTACGGCAACTCTCAGCTGATGAGACCTCATTCTGGCTATTGAAGGTGGAGATATTCACCTTTATTCACTTCTAGTCAAAGGCAGGCCCCTGCCACCCGCAGCCTTCTCCTTCTACAGAACTGCCCATCTGTGCCTTTAATTACCCAGCAGCTACGGTGGGCGGAGTTGAAGCTCCTCAACCTGTGGCTATTTCCCGATCTTAGGCCTCCAAGTAGCTTAGTCATTAACAACAGATGCATCCTGTCGAGGCTGCCCATCTGATGACCCCATGAGTCACCCATCATGGCACAATGGGATTTCTCCCCACTCTTGACCCATCTTCCAGAGGAACTGCTTCTCTTTTGTTTGTTTGTTTGCTTGTCTTTCGAGCTAGGTTTCTCTGTGGCTTTGGAGCCTGGCCTGGACTTCTCTCTGTAGACCAGGCTGGCCTCGAACTCACAGAGATCCGCCTGCCTCTGCCTCCCGAGTGCTGGGGTTA